GAGATGGCAGGCAGACGTGGGCACTGCCGCGGGCAGATATGCAAAGGCGGCATCTCTCTTGGCTGCTCTGGTGCCATCCAACCATCAGTTCCTTGAGAAGAGGGGCTATGCCTTGACACTCTTCTCCTTCTGGCTCTAAAATGGAGCTGGCCAGAAAGCTCATTATTTGCAGTTACTCTAGATAAGGAAGGGGATGGGGTGGAGACACCATTTGGCCCTGGTCTGGTCCCAAACATTTGGCAGGGATGGTGATGTAGTGTGTTGAATGGTGCCCCCCTCCCCAAATATATGTCCACCCAGAACCTGTGAATGTGACCTAATTTGGAAAAAGTATCTTTGAAGATGTAATTGTTAAGAACCTCAAGATGAGATCATCCTGGGTTACGGTGGTCCCTAAATCCAATGACAAGTGTTCTCACAGGATAAAGACAGAGGGAGATTGGAGACGCACAGAGAAGAGAGAAGGCCATGGGAATATGGAGGCAGAGAACGGATTTATTTAGCTATAAGCCAAAAAATGCCTACAGTCACCGGAAACTGAAAGAGGGAAAGACTTCTCTCTTAGAGCCTTCAGAGGGAGCATGGTCCTGCTGGCACCGGAATTTCACACTTCTGCCTTTCGGACTGTGCGAAAATAAACTTCTGTTGTTTTGAGCCTCCTGGTTTGTGGTAATTTGTTACAGCAGCCATAGGAAACCCATACAGATGAGAAGCAACAAGGGCACTAAAAACCCGCAACCTGTGAAGGGACAACAGAAATCATCCGCCCAGTTGTTGCCTGAATAGGAAAAGGAGGACCGCAGGGAGGGTTGACGTGCCTCTGACCAGCAGAAACAAGCATCAGTGAGTTTCATTTATTGGTAACAGCTTGTGTGGTAGTATCGCTTTGCCAGCCCCACAAGGTGGCAGGTGAGGAGCAGGCACTGGCCCGTCACCATGGAAAGAAGGTGGGAATTTTCTCTGGAAAACAGGGCAGGCAGTGGGGCTCACTTTGAGCACCCCTGTGAAGTGCCCGATTCCTTCCCAGCCCCCTCCAGGCCCTGGGGAAGGGCCTCAGGATTTTCATTTCTGCCAAGTCCCCAGGTGAGCCTGATGCCGATCCTTGAGAACACTTGCTCTAAAGCAGAGCTTCTTAAACCTTATAAGCACAGGAATCACCTAGGGATGGTGTCAAAATTCAGATGCTGACGACCCTTTGTCCTTTCTGACCCTGCTCTCTCTGCTGTCCACCTCCAGCTGCCGTTGACTGGACTATGGGCTCACCAACAGCCTATGACAAGACCCCGCTCATCCTCTCTTGAGAATCTGAATGGCGTCTGAACAGAGACCACTGCCCACTGCTGGTGATCCCTGGGCCCAGAGACCATGGTGCAGTGCTACAAGGAGCCAAGAGCAAAATGAGCGCAGAGGCGCCGGCTCAGGAGGGGAGGAGAGGACGTGGATGCACAGAGCCTGTGCAGGCTGGAGAGGGAGAGGATGCCTTTGCTTTCTGACAGTTCTCTAATTCCCAATTCCCATGAGCCCTAACTGGGCTGTTTGCCCTGGTGTTCTGAGAAATCCTGTATCCTTCCAATTAGCTCCTCTTTTTGCTTGAGATACTTTGAATGGGCTTTTGTTCCTTGAAGCCAAAGGGCCTTACTTAATCAGAATGTGCAAATCTATGCCCTCATCCACCAGCTCCTGATGTGAAACCCTTTGAGTCAGGAACTACATCCTGTGTAATGTTTGTGTCCAGGACTTTGGACAGGGCCCTGCAGGGGGCTGCTGGAGAGTGTGGCGTGAATCTCTGGATACAAAGTGCACAGGTTTTAGGAGAGGTGGAAGAGCACATTCCAAGTGAGTGGAAGGTGGAGCTGAGGCGTGGAGCTGGGTGCGCAAGTGTGGAGGCTGCATACACAGGGCAGCTGGGGCTGTAGGAGGCAAGCCAGGCTGGTAGGAAAGCTGATCACAGAAGGGCGGGAGCTGGAGTTGGTTTGACAGACAGTAGGGAGCCATCCAACGTCTTTCAAGCTGGAAGGACATGACCAAGAATAGTTGTGCTTTTTTCTTTTGCAAGGACCCTAATGGCCCAGGTGAGAGGTGACATCTTGAAATAAGCCTGTAAAAATGGGAAGTAGAACATGGATCCTAGAGATTTTCCTAGTGTAGAATCAACAGGACATGGTAACTAATCGAACATTGTGCTAAATTCCAGAATGGAGAGCATCCTGTTAATAGACCAGAATGTAGAAATAAAATTTCAACTTTACTATTAATCAGAGATATGCAAATTGTAAGAGATGCTGTTTTTCATCATAGCAAATTGGCAAAGATACTGGTGAGGGTGTGGTAAAATGGTCACTTCCATATTTTATAACACACACAGAGGATAAATTGAGAAACACATGATTTGGAAAATAATTTAGCAAAATGCATTACAATCTTTAAAGATTTTCATACCCTGAGTTACCCAGAAATAAAATGACTAGATCTATCTTATAGGAAGTTTCTAAAACATATAAAGTAACTTACAGCCAAAGATATTCTTCACAGGGCTGAAGGAAACCAACCAAACATCCAATAAAGAGAACGTGAAATCTAGAAAGTTATATCAGCTGTGGAATACTACATATCCCATTCCAAATAAAGGTTCAAAGTGCACACAGAGTAGTTACAGCAAAATACCAATATATGTATCCATTTTGATTATAACTATCTAAGTGAAACACAAATAAAAAACTATGTAAATGAAATACACAAATAAAAACCTGTGAATGGAAAATAAATGACAGAATGGAACTATTCCAAAATTTAACAAGTTATTGTGCTTTTTTCTACTTTTCTGTGCTTTCCATTTTTTCTCCAAAGCACAATAAAATAACAATAAAAAGAAGTCCCTGGGGCCTGATAAAGCAGCCTGAACTGAGAACACAATCACTGGCTATTGCAACTGAGACCCCAGATCCTGTCTCTCATTCACTGACTCCCCTGTGGAGGCAGGAACACGTGGGAGGACTCAGTTTTGCTGTTCCGCTGTGTCTTTGTCTCATCAGCTCTGAGGATGTTTAGTTCTCAAGTACGGTGCTGGGCACATGGGCAGTCTGCACCATGGATGCCTGTTGACCTGTGACTTCATTTCCTGCGGCCGCTGTAACAAATTACCACAAACTGGGTGGCTTAAGAGAACAGACATTTATCCTCTCCCAGCTCTGGAGGCCGAAAGTCTGAAATCCGTGTTACGGAGCCCAAATCAAGGGGTTATCAGACTAGTGCTCCTTCCGGAGGCTCTGAGGGGAGGGTCTGTTCTTTGCCTCCTCCAGCTTCTGGTGGCTGCCGGTGAGCCTTGGCTGGTGGCCACATCGCTTCAATCTCTGCTTCCATCTTCCACGGCCTTTTCCAATCCCGTGTGTGTCATTCTATTCTGCTTCCTTCTTATAAGGACCCTTGTGAGTATATTTAGGGCCTACTTGAATAATGCAAGATAATTTCCCTACCTCGAGATCCTTAACTTAATCACATCTACAAAGTTGTCTTCTTTTTTCTTCCTTTTAAGATAACATTCACAGGTTCCAGGGATTAGGACGTGGATATCTTCCGGGGAGACACCGTTCAATTTATTACAATCAGCTTTAAGAATTAAGCAACTTTGTTGATGGGTACTTTATTATATATATTTTTTGAATATCACCCCTTATTATAATTACTCCAAAATTCCCTGGACCCTTACGACGTGAGCCTGCCTGCTCTTATCCTACTGACCTGCAGGTGGCAGCACAGGAGCACTCAAAATTCAGGGTTGCAGGAAAAAGACACAAAACCTTCCGCGTTTCAGTCCAACTGCGGAGGGATCCCTCTTCTGGCTCTGTGATGCTGCACTGTTAACCGCCAGGCACCCACCCTCATATTGCATCCCGCTGGGCAGGAGTGGGAGAGATTAAGGGATGAGGATGACTCCACCTCTGGGAGCATCACCCAGAGGAACCGTAAGCTGATTTGGGAAAGATGGCATTTGGGGGTGTGCCAGGTGCTGTCCTGGAAACTTTTGCTCTAAGACCTGGGCACCATGTAATGAGATAACGTGTGTATCTAGTCTGTTCTTGGTGCTTAGCGTATCTTAACTGTGTGTGCACATACCTCCCCTCATTTAATCCTTGTAACAAACCCACAATGTAAGTCTTAGCATCTCATTTTACAGAAGAGGATATCGAAGCACAGAAGGGTGGCCTTGGTTGTCCAGCATTACCCAGCAAACAAATAGCAATGCTGGGCTTTGAATCCCAAGTGTCAGTGACTCAGAGTTCAGCTGTGTCCTCCTGTGCTAGCTGAGGAGATGCTTGATGGTGAATCACAAATCTTCCACACACAGTTACTTCTAGATGAGCATGGAAAAACCCCAGATTTTCCTTGGAGAGGCATGTTTTGCAGACTAGGGTGTGCAGAGGGAACGGGGGCTGAGGAAGGAAGCTGATCCCAGCTGCTGGGCTGGAAGGCAGAAGACCAGAGTTGTGTCCTATTTCTGCTGTCCCATTGCTGTGTGACATTGGGCAAGTCCTGACCCTCTCTGAGCTTTCCTTTACTCATCTGTGGAACAGAGCATCTCTCAGGTCCTTGCTGATTCTCACTGTCCAGGGAAACCAGAAGCTCCAGCACCAAACTTTTCATTAACTAACCCCCACCCCCAAGCTGTGACTATTCAGTTCAAGGGGTTTTGCTGGGAGAGAATTCTTAAATAAGGCCACAAAGAGAAATGCTGGTCAGTCTGAGCACATCACAGCCCCAGAGCCGGGGTTCATTTCTCCCCTGGTCCTACCTTAGCTTTCACCTGTCACACATGGGGCACTGCAGGGAGCAGATGCTCAGGTGGTGTTCGAAGTGCAAAAGGAGAACAGAAGGAAACAGGTGAAGGCAGGAGAACCATCAGACTGGGATGCAGGCCTGTCTGCCACCATCTCTGCTGGCCAGCGGGGCTTGGGGCAATGGCTGCCTTTCAGAGGAGGCCGAGTCAGGGGGAGATGGTCAGGCCCTGGTACCACTGTCTTGCTCTGTCGTTAGCTGCCTGAGGGTGCAGTCCCCGTGTGTGTGTATGCACATGCGCAATGCCCTGTGTCCCTCTGGCACTCAGATGAGGGCTGCCAGCTCTGGGCGCCTCTGACTGGTGGCAGCTTGGCCCAGCCATCTGGATTCGGCCCAGTCCCTGGGAAGCAGATTGGCCAAGGGAGGCAGAGCCTGCAGCTAAAAGAGGACCCTAGTCCTGGGGTCAGGGCAGGAGCAGGGGATGCTGGGCCAGCAAAGAACAGCAGCGGCAGCTGCACCGCAAGATTTCTGGAGTCGGTTCAGCTCCTCGCCTGGGTGGTTTAGCACTTGCCACAACCCTTGGAGGCAGGAGGTAGGTAGTATTACCCACCCCCCACCCCCCCATATTTTATAGATAAAATGTTCTCTGAGTGTTTGCCTCTGTGGGTAGAACAGGGAGGATAGAGTTGGACTCATCCTTCCCTGAATCTGTTTGGATGTGGGTGGGGGCTGAGGTTGGGGGGCTTCCTTCCTCAGACCCTCTGCCTTGTGAATCCTCTCCTTGGAGGCAGGCGTCAGCCCTGCCGCAGGGAGCTCTAGTCCAGCGGCCTCAGAGCCACCCTGACTGCAAGTCCCTAAGAGAGAGGAGTCCCCTTGTCCCCCAGTCTAGGTGGTGAGGGGGGACCAAGAGGCCTCAGCTCCATCCAGCCCTCCCTACAGATCTGCTAGAGGGCTGGAGACCACCCTCACAGGCGCAGGGACGCGGGTCAGCAGCGGGGAGGCGGCCGGGCTGGGAAGGAGCCAGAGCCTGCGGAGGCCGCTCTGTCCAGGCCAGATGGTCCCTGGCTCCGGTGGGAGGGGCTGCCGGCACCTCCGGTCAGTGTCCTGGCCCAGGTCCCTCCCAGCCTTCAGGTGCAGTTTACTGAGGGGGCTGCACTTCGTCCCCCGTGAGCAGGGCTTTCTTTGAGATGCCCTTTACTTGCATCAGCCGCCCTGATGGCCACCTTACTCCCCACTTCCAGGGCCCAACCAGATCCCTCAGAGTCTCATGTCCACACCAACCCAGGCCCTGCAGGACCCCTGGAACGTGGCTTGTGCCATGGGGCCTTCCCTTACAGTGTCCCCTGTTCCTCTGCAGTTCAGGCTTTATCAACTTGTCATTCATTCATCCATTCATTCCTCCAACAAATGTAAACCAAACACTTACTATATCCCAGGCCCTGTGCTACACAGACAGACAAGATGGAGAAGCCCCTGCTCTCATGAAGCTGATGTGACTAGGGGAGATGAGAAAACTGGTGAACAGGGCTTATGGTGATGTGATGGAGGATGGGGCTACTTTAGGAAGGGTCATCAAGGAAGGCCTCCCTGAGGAGGGGGCATTTGAGCTGGAGCTGGAAGGATAAGAAACTGGCCAGACCTAGTTTTGGGGGTAGGAGGAGGGAAAGTTCAGGCAGAGAAACCAGCAGGTGGGAAGGCCCTGGGGGAAGATGTGTGTGGTGAGGCTGGTGTGTACTCGCTGGTGGGGGTGCTAGAGGCAGGAATGCTGGATGTGAAGGGGAGGAAGTCAGGGCCAGAACTCAAAGGCTTGTAGGAGGTAGATTTGATTCTGAAAGGTTTTCACAGAAGGGAGTAATAGAAACAGAGTTAACATTCACACTGCTTTTCTTACATGCAGGGCCTTGTGTCAGTCATCTTACGTAAGCCAGTGCAGTCAAACCTCCCCAACACCCCATGGTAGGTCCTATTATTACCCCATTCTACAGGTGAGGAAACTGAGGAACTGAGAGGTTAAGTCACTTGCTCAGTGACACACTACAGCTCAGTGATGGAGCTGGAATTTCCAGTGGGCCATTGGTTCTAGAACTGATCATTGTCCCACCCTGCCTCCTGGGGTATGACTCCCTCACCTCCAACATAGCCCCCTCCAGACACCTTCCCTCACCCCAGAGTTTGTTGCTTCTGCATAAGCAACATATAAACATACCATATGGCCTGAGAAACTGTGGGGTCCCTAAGGGATCATCTTGTCCATGCCCTTGCCTCCAGGTGGACTTGGTATTATAAGTCCCATTTTGAAGATGAGACTACTGAGGCCCAGGGGGGTAGTTAAGAGACTGGTCCACCATCCAGAGCCAGGGAAGGAAGCACGGGACTAGAGCCATGGTCTCCTAAATTCCCCCACTCCACCACCAATCTCATCAGCCCCTCTTTGAGACAATTCTCAGGTTGGTTCTTCTCTGTTCCCCATCCCTCACCCTTTCCCTAGCTGGAAAGCAGCCTCCCTCTGTGTCCATCTCAGGCTGGTGTACACAGCAGGTGCTTCCTTCAGGTCTGTGGATGCAACAGGTAGATGAAGGCAGGACCACACCGGACATGGAGTTGCTGTCCAGGACACCTAGAGCAGTGGTGTTTAGCAGGACGCGTGGATGTGAGCTGACGCTTGAAGGCTGCTTAGGAATGTTCCAGTGAGCCAGGGAGCAAGGTTGGTGTATTTCTGTCTGGAATGGGAAGGGTATCTCAGTCAGAGGGAACAGCATGTGCAAAGAGAGGGAGAGGACGTGAGGTGATCAAGGGACAGTGATGGTTCAGTTAGACCTGAGCATGAGGAGGTGAAGGGCAATGAGGCTGGGGCAGGGCTGCAGGGATGGGGTGGGTCCTGTGCCAAGGACCCTCCTGGCCCTGCATGGACTTATTCGGTGGTCACTGCTTTCTTACAGTCCTAACAGACAAAGAGGCTCCGTCTGGTAGATATGGAATATCTTTAATGCCCCGATTTCTTTTTGCCACGCATGGCTTTGCTCTGCGATATTCAGGAGGCACATGTCCCAGGAGCCTGGTTCACAAGGGAGCCTGGGTTGACATGCTCTTCTTTACCTTCAGGCCTTTTCTCTTTTGCAGCCCCATTCAGGGCAGGTGAGCATCATGGGCATGGGCGTGTGCCTGGGCCTGGGCGTGAGTGTGGCCCAGCTCTGAGGGCGTCAGTTGCATCAGCTCCTCTGAGGCCCCAGGGGAGGCACAGGGCAGCTCGTCAGGATCCAGGTTGGCATCGCTCCAGCCCTCGGAGCTGTCACTGTGGCTGTCCAGACTGGTGGCTTCATCCTCAGATATAATGACAATCTCAGCCATGTCCTGCCCAAGGTTGCTGTCTAAATCCTCTGCCAGGTGGTCAGTGGCCCCCTCAACCTCACTGGCTCTGTGGACGTCTACTGCATCCTCCTGCTTCTGCTCAGAGCCAACTGAAGGGGCACTGCAGAGCCCTGGCACAGGCCGAGCAGGGGCCTTGGCTCTGCCCTGGCCAGCCCAGAAGAGGGTGAGCTCTTGGCGGCAGGCAGCCACAGCCAGGCTGGTGAGCAGGGTGCTGGACACCAGGTAGAGCAGGGCAGGCTGGCCCATCTGCATGAGGGCCATGGCAGCAAAGGTGACCAGCAGGCCCACGGCATAGGCTGCGGTGCAGGCCATGAAGTAGACCTGGCGTGAGCGGATTTGCACATCAAAGCGGTGACAATAGGCCACCAGGAAGCCCGGGACCACTATGTCCCCGAAGCCGAGGATGGAGAAGGGCTGGTCACACAGGGTCAAGGCCGAGAAGCTCAGCCGGGGCACCCTGAGCACCATGGGCAGCCTCTCATGGCTCAGGGAATCTGCTGGGCCCGAGGCCACCTCCACCATGATGCTCTCGCCAGTCCTGGTGAGGAGGGGTGTGACAAAGACAAAGAAGACATCAAAGGCCAGCAGGGCCAGCAGGAAGGAGGCACAGCTCTTGAGTGTGGGCAGGCGCACGCGCCGCAGGACGAGGAGGCAGTAGGCCACGCCCAGCGTGTCCTGCAGGAGCCACGCCCAGCGGTCCTCGTTGCGGTAGGCAACCCAGAGGACGGTCACCACCATGCACAAGATGGCCAGCAGCATCAGGGGCAGCTGCAGGCAGGCCCGCCGGCCAGGCAGGAGCCACTGGTGTTGCTGCAGGGGCAGGTGGTGCACCACAGGTGCCAGGCAGCTGTAGAGGCCAGTGCCTGCGCCCAGGCCGAAGATGGCGATCATGACATAGATAAAGCAGTCGTAGAAGAAGTAGAGCAGCAGCATGATGGAGCAGGACATGGCGACCACTGCGCCCGTCATGGCCAGTGTGAAGTCCACTGGCATGTCCTTGTCTTCTTCCTCGTGCCCCCGCTGGGCTGCCACTGCTTCCTGCTGATTGTGACCACCAGGCTCCCCTCCCCCTTGGGCCTGGCGCCGCTGCAGCCGATCAGACTCGGTCAGGCCAGCCCAGTAGCCACCCGCGGCCACAGTGCCTACAGCCAGGATGAAGATGACCACCATGTTGTAGTCAAGGATGGGCTCTGGGGGTGCGTACAAGGCCACGTGGACCCCGGCACCACCGTGGGTGTGACTGAGGATGTCCAGCATGTCGGTGTAGCGGAGCACGGCCACGGGGATGGTGAGGTCTGGCAGGGGCTTGTGGGGGTCCTGGGACGCCGGGGTGATGTCTGAGCACTGTTGGTCGCTGACCCTGCTGACAATGAGCAGCCCGTGCGCACCTCGGCCCTGAGCCAGCCAGCCTTTGGCGTAGAAGCTGCAGTTGCCCCTCATGACCATGGCGGTGGTCTGGCGGAGGGGCCGCTGGCTGGGCAAGCCAGGGTGGTCCTGGTGGGAGAAGTCCTCTCCTGGACACCACGGTGTCTTGGTGCCATCATGCAGGGGTAGGAGCGGGGCATGGTGCAGGTCTCGGGGCAGGGTGACGTAGTCGGAGCGGAACAGGACGCAGTAGTCTTTGCTCCAATTCTCCTGACACCACGTGGACCACGCCATACTCCCCCTGGGCCATGGCGCTGGT